TGCAGTACACTACTCTCTCACACCTTCAAAGGAAGCTGAGCCTCAGGAAATAACTGGAACTTGGCACTTTTGTTGTCAAGACTTTGTGTCTTGTTTTTGTATTTTGGCACATTGTAGACTACCTAGTAAATGTTTTTGAATGTGAGACTATTCACTTGGGGTACTCAGATAAAGGTAATTTTATTCATCCAGTTTTAGGTAATTTACTGAGTAGCAGAATTTCCTTTTAGGAACCGTCAATTAGGAATTCTTTGATACCTTTTAAAGACAAGTCTGACAAGCATAGGATCTCATAATTAACGGCTGCTAACAATGGGCCAATAACCCTTTAAACTGTAACGTGACACTCATTTCAACAATTACATTTGACCCCTTTGCCAACCTTCATCTTATACTAGGTCCTCACCAAAATCATATAAGTTGTTTAATTCAGAATGTACTGAAGGCTGTCACATTCTTTGTAGGTAATCATATGGCTAATATGCCCAAGGAAATAGCTTAAGAAAAATTAGAGACCTTCCTTCTCTTGTTGCAAGACATTAGGGGTACCATGGACGTGGTGGTTAGAAAAAGCATAATGACCACACACCCCAGATATCATACTTGCATTTGTAGGAGGAAGTAAGTACCAAAATAGAAATGCTTCCTTTGATGAGAAAAACTTATTTTGCAGAAAAGAGTACAAATACTATAGGCTGCTAAATGTGTTCCTTCCTGCTGTTGTCCAAAGCATAGATGAGAGGGTGACAGTTTCTGTGAGTTATTAACAATTTATTATACCAAGAAAAAATTCTGGTTATCTAATGAAAGCAATAAAGATTAGTTGCTCTTAGATATGCTCTAATATTTTTACATTTTAATTGAATATTCTATTTTTACTGGTTGCTAATGAACAGTGAGAACAATTTGCAGTGAGTCTTCAGTGGTCAGTGGTGAGCCATAACTGGACTTCTGAGCACAATCCTTGGTCAGTTAGATTTTCTGGGCTCTTTTATGTTCACCACATTTGAAGACAGTTAAGATCTAAGCATTGTCTCCTGCTCACTCAAAAATCTCAGCTAGCAAATCACGCCATGCCACTTTTTACCAAAATTAAGATAGATCTAGGTTTTTACATTCAAATCTTTGTGTTTCATTCCCAAAATAAAAAGGCTTAAGGAAATTTTGATCTTGAAAATAATATTGAACATTTCCATGGTCAAGGAATGGTTTTAAACCTTGTACCTGTGAGGGGTGCAATTATTTATTACTATATGAGTTAATTTTAAAAGTTTGTAGAAAAATGGAAGCAGAAGATATTTATTTTGATGCAAAAATGTTTGAAATCCAAGCATACTTTTCCCATGAACTTTTTGAATACCTCTCATGTATGGATTTCAAAAAAATTTGCATCAAAATGAACTTATTTTTCATTCTATTTCCCATGAACTATTGAAGCACCTTCAAGTGTGCTGGGTTCTTCCTTTTGATGGAGAAAGTGTACCTCCTCTCACAAATTCACAGGTTTTCCTCTCACAGGAATTCAATCCACATCTTCCAGAAAGATGCCAGGGGCCCAACTACTAGAGCCATCCCCACTGCCTCCCTGGGTGTACGTTAGCAGGAAGCTGGAACTGGAAAGAGAGTTGGGACAGGAACCCAGGCATTCTGTTGGGGATGTGGGCATGCCAACCTGTGTCTTAACCACTAGATCAAATTCCCACCCCTATATCATTCTTTTCATGTTCCTTAATATGAAAATTCAGCAAAATGTCCCAAATAACTTCCTGTAAAGGACTTAGTTTGCCAAAGTCTTGCTTTGTTTTATTGTAGATTTTGTTGAGATATAGTTGACATATAATAAACTGAATATTTAAAGGGACCAGCTGTATACCATGAATCTATCACCACAGTAGAGATAATGAGTATATCTGTAACACCCAAAGTATCCTCAGGCTTCTTTGGAATCTCTCCCTCATGCTCCTTCTCTCCCTCCTCTCCTAACCCCAGGTATCTGTTTCTGGTTACTCTAGTATCTTCTGTTTTCTTTCTTTCTGTCTGTCTGTCTGTCTGTCTGTCTGTTTTGACAGTTAGAGTTATAGACAGTGAGAGAGAGACAGAGAGGTCTTCCTTCCGTTGGTTCACTCCCCAAATGGCCATTATGGCCGGTGCTGCGCCGATCCGAAGCCAGGAGCCAGGTGCTTCTTCCTGGTTTCCAATGTGGGTGCAGCGGCCCAAGCACTTGGGCCATCCTCCATTGCCTTCCTGGGCCACAGCAGAGAGCTGGACTGGAAGAGGAGCAACCAGGACCAGACCCGGCGCCCATATGGGATGCTGGCACCGCAGGCGGAGGGTTAACCAAGTGAGCCACTGGCGCTGGCCCCGTATCTTCTGTTTTCTAGCCAGCAGGTGCATCCTGAGAGATCCACACATTAGTCAACTGTGGGCTTATCCTGCAAGGCCTGAGCATTGTGGGATGGGTGAGGCTAGGCACTCTTCCACAAGAAGCACTGGAGACAAGTGTTGGTGAACATATCTGCTTTATTAATGACCAAGCGCACCTTCTAAAGGGCAGCCAGAGGGGCTGTAGCTAATTCAGGGCAACACTAATTCTATAGGATAGAGCTGATATTGTCACTGCTATACTTCTCCAATCAGCTTGAAGGTCACATAGGCTATGGTAGCTTTCCTGATGGGCCTGGGCCACACCCTGAAGCAGTTTACCTGTGGCAGAAGGTGGGGGTGGGGTTAACGTGCCTAGGGCTCCTGCCGCCTGCCAGCAGTCAGGCTAACCTTCTGCATGGGCTAGGCAGGCAGTCTCCCAGCCTGGTGTAGGATCACCCACTGTCACCCTCAGTGTGTACTCTCTTCCACCACCACCTCCCCCCAGTTTCTTTCACATAGCTTATTTTAGGATCATCCATGTGGTTTTAGGTATCAATAGTTCTTTTTTTTTATTATTGAGGAAACATTATTCTTTCCAAACAATTTGACCACAGATAATATTATATTAACCTTGATATTTTCATTTTAAAAACATTTTTGCTTTTTTATATCTTTAATCTTTATAAAATAATATCTGTTTACCTGAAATTAACTCATATATTCCCTTCGTTGTTTTGTTGTTGTTAAATTCTAGTAAAATTAAACCTAATCCTAATTTTAGATTCTAATAGCACTTGTTTCCTAATTTCTAATTCTGTATCACTTTTCCAGCCTTTGTGGTACTTACCGGCTTATCACATCTCCCTAATGTACACAGCAGATTATCTGCTCTCTTACTTCTAAACTTGGGGAACCAAGAGGATCAGGAAATGACTTTCCATATGACTTATTTGTATGTAAGGAAGTCTTTGGAGAGTACCTAACAAACAAAAAGGGCCTTGTCATCCTGTTTTTCAGTGGTGTGGTGGCTGTTTTTACAGTTTGTGTACACTTTTCTGCCCAACACATTACTTATCTCAAAACTGCTGCCTTCAGATTTGGCCAATGCAAGTCACAGACAATATAAGGGATCATTAAAATGTTCATGAAAAATTCACATTATGAAAAACTGTGTGTGAATTTCAAAATAGATTTGCACTACAATAAACTTAACTTTTTTATGTAAGTACTCTTGTATATGTTCCAGGCAATGTCCATTTCTTTATTTAAGTTCAAACCACCCAGCCTGCTGTCATTTTTAGTGACTCTTCTTCTGGTCCTAATTTTACAGGCCAGCTGTGGCCTCTGACTAAACTGGACTTGCCCCTCTGGCTTGTCTGATGGATTTTGGCTTTGCTTACTTCCTTGATGTTGTATCCTTCACTATCATAAATGAGAAACTACTTCTACAGCTTCAATCAAATGCGACCATGTCAAACTCCCTCTCTCTTGGTCTCTTCTTGTGTCTGAACCAGGAGAAAGGGATCAGGGACTCAGTGGACTGCCTGTTGTTTTGATGGGACTTTCTCTCACTTGGACACTCCAGAGTGCTCATCCACACATGTCCTACATGCTGGTATTTTAGCTACCTAAACCCTTTGGCTTCTGTTATGATAGTTAAGGGGAAATGCTGGTCATATTCCTGTATTTCTGTGTTTCTGGAAACCTTGACAAGTGTTTGACTTTCATTCTTTCTTTCTCTTAGCAAGAATTATGTTATCCTCTGTTGGGTCTCTTAATAGAACTGAAAAACAAAATCTGACAGAATCACTCACATGATTACATCATGAGAAGAGGGTTCTAGCCCCCTTTCAGAACTACCTCAAGACATTTCAAAAGCCTAGAGAAGTCTTATCTTATTCCTCTGTGTGTCCTAGCATGTTTACATGCTTCCTCAGATTTCCTAGCAGATTTCTAGAAGAATCACTTAAAAAATCATAACATTTGCTGTAAAAGTGACAAGCAAATGAATTATATAAAGGTTCAGTTTTCTTTGTCTTTTTAAGACTTGAGTATTATTTTTGCCAATGTAAACCTTAAATTTAACTGCTTTTTCTGCTTAAGTTTCTGTTTTTTATGCTTCTTCTTCTTCTTCTTCTTTTTTTTTTTTTTTTTTAAGGCTAGCATTGTGGCACAGTAGATTAAGCCACTGCCTGGGATGCTCTGCCTTCTGTCAGGGGAGCCAGGACTCAAACCAGTACTCTTGACCATTCTATGATTGACATAGTTAGGCTCCTTGCAAGACAGAAAATTTGAGGGGCTTTTAAATAAATAAAGAGGATTATATAATGAATACAAACTGGGTGAAATTTTATTTCAAGGGACTATGAAAAAAATTATTATAGGCTTGAAGACATATCAAAGCAGTGATTTGTTTCTCAGCTGGAGTTTCATAAGTGGATATTGTACAACATTTATTAGCAGAAGATGATTATTTTGTTTGTCTTAATCTTAGGTTCTTAGAATATCCTAATTATTTTTTTCAAAACTCTTTCTTTGGATAATAGCTTTGACGTTGTTAACAGAATGGTAAGCCACCCTGACCTAATTTCTAGTGTGAAAGGTTATGTTTTGTGATTTTTTTTTTTTCCTTTTAGATCCATTTTCCCTATCCACCCCAGCTTCAGAATCATTGCCATGGCAGAGCCCCCTGTTATTGGAAGTGCAACACAGCAATGGCTGGGACCAGAATTGTTAACCATGTTCTTTTTCCATTACATGAAGCCACTTGTCAAAAGTGAAGAAATGCAAGTGGTGAAGGAAATGGTAAGAGCAAAGGCTGCTCCAGCCTCGTGTCAGCAGCTGTTTTCCTTTTTCAAGGTGCTCTGAAACATTCTAGAGCAGAGTTGGACATGTCTAGCTTTTCCTCCCACATTTACTTCCACATCTCCTCATATAATGGTGTGGGTCCTGATTCTCAAACTTAACATTTTGGAGAATCATCCAGAGGCCTTGGTGGAAAGCCATTTGATGATTCTGTGTCTATAGTGTTTGAGTCAGTAGATCTGGGAAGGTTACATGAGAATATGCATTTCTAGCAGGTCTCAGGTGATGACGATGCTGTTGGTCTGGGTACCACACTATGAAAACCACAGATGTACACGGTCCTTTCCTCTTTCCTCAGAGAGAAACACTTTTGGAGTTCCTTTTCCTTTTACATTTAGTCAAAAGTAACTATTTTAAGTTACTACTGTAAATGGAGGCCAGATATATTATCAGGTATTAGATTTGATAGAAAATACTAAGTAGTCCTGGTATCTCAGGATTGTAATGTATCCTATACTTACCTGAGTCACCATCCAGTGCTTCCTGTGTGTGTGTGTGTGTGTGTGTGTGTGTGTGTGTAATTCGTTCTTTCCATGTCTGCCTTAACCAAGCATTATGTTAGCACTTGGAAATTCTAGAACTGCACTGTTCAATGTAGCAACACTCACCACATTAAGCAAAGTTGTTTTAATTCAGTGTCCCAATCACATTGCAAGTGCTTAATAGCTGCATGGGGGACTTCTGACTACTGTGATAGACAGCATCATTAAAGAACATTTACTGTTCATAGAAAGTTCTGGAACTGTTCTAGTCACTAATAATAAATGTTTTACACAAATGCCTCATTTCTATTGAGATAACATAAGGAACTGGTTAATTTTATGTGGGCATGGTTATGGTAATGGTATCGGCTTTAGAGTTCAATGACTTGACTGTGAATATCAATCCACTCCTGATTAGCTTCCAGATCTTGAGCAAATTATTCAGTCAGAACTTCTTCATCTTAAGATGAAGGTGATTGTACATCACATTATTGATTTAAAGAATAAGTTAAAGCATATGTGGAATCGAACTTAGAATTAAAAAAAATTCCTCTAGTTCCTTAAAGGACTCTGAAATGGTCACATTACACCAATTGTTGTTTTAATATTTCCTTCTGAGATTTTAAAATCAAACCTTTCAATTTGTTATTGCTTAAACAAAAATTGCTTATAGTTTAATTAAGTCAAATATTTAATAACATAAAGATTTTTTATTTCAAGTCGGTCATGTATGTTATTTGTCAAACTGCCCATGGAAATCACTGATGTATTGGTCATGGCCCTCCAGGCTGCATTTTAATAGTCCTTGGAAAAACTGACACTTTGAGCATGTGTTTTTTACCCCAGGGTGCCTTATGTCACAGAGTAGATATATGTTGATGATTAAATAAAATAGGAGGGGCCAGTGCTGTGGCTCACTTCGTTAATCCTCCGCCTGTGGCGCCGGCATCCCATATGGGTGCCAGTTCTAGTCCCAGTTGCTCCTCTTCCAGTCCAGCTCTCTGCTATGGCCTGAGAGGGCAGTGGAGGATGGCCCAAGTGCTTAGGCCCCTGCACCGGCATGGGAGACCAGGAGAAAGCACCTGGCTCCTGGCTTTGGATCTGCGTAGCTCTGGCTGTAGCAGCCATTTGGGGGGTGAACCAATGGTAGGAAGACCTTTCTCTCTGTCTCTCTCCCTCTCACTGTCTAACTCTAGCTGTCAAAAAAATAAATAAAATTTTAATAATTTTAAAAATTTAAATTTCCACTTAATAAAATAGGAAATTGCCCAAATTAGAGCTTAAAACAATCATACTAGGCCAAAAAATTAAATAAATAAAACAAAAAAATCCCTAAGAAAATAAAATTTTTAAGGGTATGCTATCTGCCAGTTTTATTAAAAAATTCTTTTGTTTATCTATTTAAGAGACAGAATGAACTCCCATTCACATGTTCACTCCTCAAATGTTCACACACTGGAAACTCAATCTGGGTCTCCCACACAGGGGTCTAGGACCCTACTACTTGAGTCATCATCCGCTGTCCCCCAACCCCTGACCACCACAATTTCCCCTCCCCCTGCTCTCTACCGCCACCGTGGTGCATATAAACAGGAAGCTGGAATAGAGAGCTGAGGTAGGACTTAAACTCAGGACTCAGATGTGGGATGTGGTTGATTTACCCATTGAGCCAAGCACCTGCCTCCAAAGGCCAGTTTGTAAGAGACTCCTCTCAGTTTTATCCTAGTGATTGAATTGTGAATGGAGTAGAGGCTTATTTTTAATGCCTGATTTTTAAAGAGAAAGCAACTTCTTGAAAAGTTGAATAAGCAACTATATCCATGTGTTAAATATATAACTAATAATTAGGGAGTTTCTAAATAAGTAATTCAAATGTGATTTGTGAAGTACTCAATTGATCAGATGTCCCAATTTATTCATTCTCTTTTTCCTCATTTCTCTCATAATATAGGTTCCAAACACACCTCAGGAAGCATTGGACAAGTTGTTGTCATTTACGCACAAACTCAGGGAAACACAGGATCCAACGGTATGTCTGGGCTTTTCCCATAGCATTCTCTATTGTTGATATGCTGATGCTTTATTTTCTTAGAATTCAATGATGTCAAGTCTATTTTTTAAGCTGTTATTTTTATCACTTACGCTTTGCGCCACACATATGTTTTACTTTGATTTCAGTGGTTTTTAACATTTCTTCCAGCTGCTCATGGCTTATGTCGCAGAAAACAACTTTTCGTTCCAGAGCAGTACTCCATGTTCATGGGAACCTGTTCCCCCTGGATCATCTGCTGAGCAGTGTTATCTGTTTCTATGGCTTCAAGGACCACTTAATAAGTTAATGGCCTGCTTTGTTATCTTCAGCTTCTGACTTCTCTTTTCTGATTGATCAGTATTTCCATTCCAGAATGGCATGGTGGAAAGGTACAGGGCTGTCAGTGTCTAACCCTGTAACTCTTGGTGTTAATTGTAAAATGGGAACCAGATCCCTCATGAGAAGGTCACAATGCTAAACCATGAAAATGTAGGTAAAGAATTCTGTCCTTAGTAGCTGCTTAATGTTAGTTTTGCTTTTCTTCACTTTTCAACTTGATGCTTTGAGATCATTATGAATTCAACAGATCTTATACAACAAAAATGTCTTTGTCCCTTAAGTCTATTTCTGTTCCTGATTTAATTTCCTGACTTTGTTAAAAATCTATCTACCATATTGCCTAAGTTAGGAAACCTTGGCATCTCTGTTAATTTCTTGCTTTCCTGCTGTCTTCACTTAATCTGAAAGCAGATTCTGTCAGTTTAGCATCTTGATGTCTCATCTGTTCTCTTGTCTATAGGCAGTAGTTGTCCTAGTATCAGATTTCATAATCTTTCTCCTGAAGTAACATTATTTCCTCTTTACTGCTGTCTTCATCAAGTGACCCTCTATTAGTTTCCCATGACTGTTGTCACAAATTATAAAATCATACACTTATGGCTTAAATGTTGGTTAGGTTCCTCTCTGTGGAAGAAGAGGTAAATGCTGAGCATCTCTATTTAGCCATCTTGAAATCCCTACCCAATGATATTATAAAGGAGCTGACAAATCCCTATTGTGTACTGATGACGTAGCTGTCACAAAGTCTTAGTACAATGCTTTGGTTATGTGATTCTGATGCAGGTGTCAGCAAACCTGCACTGTCATGATGCATACAATTATGTACCGTACCTAATACAAGATAGTAAAAAACAACTACGCTACTGATTTATGTATTTAGTATACTTATTATTTTAAAATGTATGTCTATTTACTAAAAAAAAACTTTATTATAAAACTATATGCCATGTTTTACCAGCAGCAGCCTCATACATTGGTTACTTATGACATCTCTTGATTGCATAATTGTCTCTTGTGCTAAGTTTAATCTTGTGTTATTTTGTTCATCACTGTCCTGGGAACTTAAATACCATACAGCCTAGGTATGTAATAAGCTATATTCTCTAGATTTGGCCACAACAACCAGAACTGCGCCAATCCAAAGCCAGGAGCCAGGAGCTTCTTCTGAGTCTCCCACATGGTTGCAGGGGCCCCAGCACTTGGGCCATCTACTGCTTTCAGAGGCACATTAGCAGGGAGCTGGATAGGAAGTGGAACAGCCAGCACTCGAACTCACGCCCATATAGGATGCCAGTGCCAAAGGCAGCAGGTTTACATGCTACACTACATGCTTTCCCCAGAACTTTTGAAATTTTTAAGCTGAAGTGCTAGCTCTCTTACATTGTATAACCATGGTAAGCAAAGGAATGTGCCTGGCAAGATAAAATTGCAGTTAGAAATTTGATATTATAGACATTAAATCCATTAGGAATTTTTAAATTAAAGTATACTCTCAATTTTTAAAAGAGTGGGCCGACACTGTGGCGCAGTGGGTTAAAGCTCTGGCCTGAAGCGCCAGCATCCCATATGGGTGCTGGTTTGAGTCCCGGCTACTCCTCTTCCAGTCCAGCTCTCTGCTATGGCCTGGGAAAGCAGAAGAAGATGGCCCAAGTCCTTGGGACCTTGGACCTGTGTGGAAGACTCAGAAGAAGCTCCTGGCTCCTGGCTTCAGATCGGCACAGCTCCAGCCGTTGCAGCCATCTGGGGAGTGAACCAGCGGATGGAAGAACTCTCTTTGTGTCTCTACCTTTCTCTGTAGCTCTTTCAAATAGATAAAATAAATCTTTAAAAAAAGAGAGAGAACATGAGAGAAAGGGTCACCACTGGCTGAACATTAAGTATAGTTATGATTTTTTGGATATTAGACATTGTTACAAAACATTTGGTGCTATCAGTTGAGAGAACTGGTGTTCTTTATGAGAAAGCCTTAGTTGCTGGAGTGAAATGGGAAGCCAGAGTTCAGTGTCAGGCTTAGAATGAGACTAGAATGTGATTCCCACCAAGTTACCTTGTTTGAATAAGACTCTGGACATGAGTATGTTCTACTGGGGTGATTTGTCAAACATTTTCCATGATTAAAATAGGGATTTTTCGGCCGGCGCCGCGGCTCACTAGGCTAATCCTCCGCCTAGCGGCGCCGGCACACCGGGTTCTAGTCCCGGTTGGGGCGCCGGATTCTGTCCCGGTTGCCCCTCTTCCAGGCCAGCCCTCTGCTGTGGCCAGGGAGTGCAGTGGAGGATGGCCCAGGTGCTTGGGCCCTGCACCCCATGGGAGACCAGGAAAAGCACCTGGCTCCTGGCTCCTGCCATCGGATCAGCGCGGTGCGCCAGCCGCAGTGCGCTGGCCGCGGCGGCCATTGGAGGGTGAACCAACGAGAAAGGAAGACCTTTCTCTCTGTCTCTCTCTCTCTCACTGTCCACTCTGCCTGTCAAAAAATAAAAATAAAAAATAAATAAATAAAAAATAAAAAAAATAAAAAATAAAAAAATAGGGATTTTTCGTGGCCTTAGGCATTATGGAAATTTCTGAGTCTTATTTAATTTCTGATACTTTTAGTCATATTAGCAGAATCTTTTTTAATTTTAAATTTTGATTGATTTTTAACAGATTCAGTATAGTTTATAGATAAAATTCAAAGAGTATAATGAATTTCCCTCCTTCCCTCTCACTTTCTCTTTTTAGTTTTTGAAATAACATATTTTAAATATATATTATAGTAAAAAGACTTAATGCATCACCAGATAAGAAGTTTAACAAGTAAAAAGCAAAAAGACCCTAATTTAGTGGGAATATAGGCAACAGCTATAAATAATAATTGAATGGAAAAAGTACCATTTCACTCATACACAGTAAGTTTTAAAATAATCAGAGATCATTAAAACGTAGTATTACATCTTTCTCAACCATTGGTTTGACAATGGTATAAAACAAAATTTTACAAAACTTGTGTTTGCAGCAATACTGGTGCACACATCTGTTGCATTCTTTCTCTCCAACCTTGTTGTCAGACTTTATTGTAGGACTTCAATATCCCCAACAAATAATTATTAAGTGTGTACTATACCTTGAGTTGTAAAGTAGCATCTCTGTTAGTGGAATTTGGGGAAGTGTTAAGGAAACAAAGTGAAATTACTCTGTCAGTAGAGGAAGGGTTCCAAATAACATGCTTCTACTCAGGTGATGAGCTGGTGAACAGCTCTGTAGTCAGCAATCTAAGTTGTCCACATTTTTCATTTTTTCTTTTAAAGATTTACTTTATTTATTTGAAAGGCAGAGTTAGAGAGAGAGGGAGATCAAGAGAGAGAGGGGTCTTCGTCTGCTGGTTTACTCCCCAAGTGGCTGCAATGGCTAGGGCTGGGCCAAGCAGAAGCCAGGAGCTTCTTCTGGATCTCCCACGTGGGTGCAAGGACCTAAACACTTGGGCCATCCTCTGCTGCTTTCCTAGGCACAGTAGCATTGAGCTGGATTGGAAATGGAGCAGCCAGGACTCCAACCAGAACCATATGGGATGCCGGCATTGCAGGCAGCAGCTTAACCCACTATGCCACAACACTGGCCTCTATCCACATCTTTCTTTCTCTATTTCAAACTGTAGATTTTCTTAAAACTCTAAGCATTTTCAAGATATTAGCAGATTGGTTTGGGGAAGGCAGAGGGAAATAAATTAAAAGTAGTCAGTAGTACAATAGGGCCATTTGTGGGTCAGGTGTAACCTGCACTATATAGCATCCTTTCTCCATGGAACCTACCCCTAGCCAGCATGTGTGTATAAAACTTGGCACAGTTAAGTTACTTTAGAGGTGAGAATTTAATCAGCTGATTAAGGTAACAGTTAAAATGCCAACCTCCCGCATCAGAGTCCATGTGTTCAATATCTGCTTCTGGCTCTTGTCTCCACCTCCTGCCAGTGCAGAACCCAGGAAGTGGTGGTGCTGGCTGAAGTGGTTGCATCCCTACAACCCATGCAAGAGGCCTGAACTGAGTTCCTTGTGACCTGCTTTGGCCTCAAGTCATTGTGGGCATTTGTGGGGGGGGGGCAGTGGATGAGTGTTGTTCACTCTCTGTCTCAGTCTGTCTCTTGTTCCTTTTCTGTCTCTCTAATACATATTTTTTAAAATATTGAATTGAAAAATACTTTCAATGTGGTTTTTAGAAACTCATCTTCAAGGACATTTTAAATGGAAATTGGATTCTGTTTATTTTTATTTGTAATTCATTAGCAGCGCACACTTAATTTAAGTTTGGCCTTGTCCTTCAGGAATAATGGATCCTGCCAGGAAGCCCAGCTAGAGGGACTTTTAGCAAGTTGAAACAAGACTCTAACAGGATGTCTTTGTCTGGTCATAGGCACAATCATTGGCAGCGTCTCTTTCCACAAGACAGCTGTTGCGGATTGCTCGGCGGCTGTCACAGTATCCTAATGAAAATCTTCATGGTGCAGTTACTAAAGCCTGCCTTTCCAGGTAATCGTGTTTTCCTTTTTTACTGAATTCTAATTGTATTTATAGTTTATATTCACAGATCTGCATAATGTATTGATCTACTTTACTATACTTCTGTTTCAATGTTGCTCTCAGTTATTCAAACTTATGTAGTATAGTATATATTATCTTGTTAAGGCATAACAGTTTTAACAGGCATTTTGTAGATGAGGAAACTGAGTCGCGTGCTTGCTCAAGCCACACAGTAGTGACTAGTGTACTTGGGACTGCTGGAAGGCTGGGTCACCTGTCTTCTGCGATGAGCTCCTAAGCATTATACTTCTCACTGCCTGAATTTGCATTGGAACTTCCCATACTTAGTAGTACTGCTCCCTTGTCAAAGTTCAACAAAACTAACATTTTCTACTCTTAGACTGATAGTTCATGTAACACTAGCTTACAGAATTTTTTACAGAATCACATTCATATGAAACTAATTTGAACAAAAAGATTGTTAATAAGAAAAAAAGGACAATCCCCATCAGTCCCAGAGGTTTCTTTTAGAGTGTATTCATATAATCTAATAGTTATTTTTATGGTAGTTGTGCTTGTTGTCCATTCATTCCTTAAAAAAGAATTTTAAAAGAATGTGTTTTCAGTTTAGGAGAATCTAAAAATTGCCTTCGTTAACTTTTCAATGAAATAGACAATTTTCCTATAGTTTAATCTTCTTGAGTTAAAGCTTGAATTCCATCTAGCTAAGATGCTAAGATGATCTTCCCTACAAGTATTTAGCATAATTCTTTGAATAACTTGTAGTTATGAAAACCAACAAAATTGATTTCCTTATTCCTTTAAATAGAAGAGTATTAGACATCCAAATGAAAATTTAAAAAAAAAAAGCCTCAATTCCTTATTTATCAGACTTAAGAACTGAAGAAACTATAAACAGAGAGATAGCTTCATTATCTAGTCAATATTTCTTCTTAGGCAGGACTTGGCTGTAGATATGAGATCATAGAAATGAATAGACAAATGCTAAGCAATGTTAAGAGCTGTGGAGCCTAAGAAAAAAATTAAATATTCAACAATTTATGGAGAAATTAAATTAAAAGTTTGTTTTGGTATAGACATTTTTGAAATCCATGCATTGTTTTTTTTATACTATATACTTTCCATGAATTTTTTAAAGCCATTCATATTAAAACAAAATAATCAGGCCCAACACATTTGACAGATTGTAAGATATACTGTGGAAGTTAAATCAACTTTCAATTTCCCTTATTAAAAAAAATCAAGTAATGAGTATTTATCTAACAAATAAATGAGTAATCAAATTTTGGAGAACAAATAAAAAGAAATCTAAATGATCTGAGAATATTGAAAGCTGGCAAAGTTTAATTTGTTACTAATACAGTTGCCAGCCTACCTGGAAACTGTATGTACATTTTAAATAAAGATTAGAAAGATTTAAGGAATAAGTTTCTACCAGGTGATTTGTCATTATTTCCCTTGGTTATATACTAAAAACAGTAGTGGGGGAGAAAACTGATTCTACATTTTTTCCTACTATTTGGAGTAGAAAACTTAATGGATTTCTCCTCAAACAGAAATATTTTCAAAAATCTATAAAGCTCAAAGCTATAGAAAAATAGTAGAAAATATGGACAAATAAACTATGGTAGATATTATCTCCTGTCAACTCCCAACCAACCTAGAAATTCTGAATATAATATAATAAATAAATAGATGTTTATTCTTATTCAAACTTGAAAAGCAGAGACTATCTGAAATAAAGTTAAAATAGGATTTCATGGGATCTATCAATTCCATTTCTGAGAATTGAAAATATGTCCTTAAAAAATTTGAACATGAATATTCATGAAAATACTATTCATAACAACTAAAGCAAGGAAGCAACACAAAAGTCCATCACCTGCTGAATAGATAAATATAATGTGGTTTATCCGTATAGTAGAATATTATTCAACAGTAAAAAGAAATGAGGTACTGATATATATTGCAATGTGGATGAACCTAGAAATTATGATGCTGAGTGAAAAAAGCCATAGAAAAAAGATTACATATTGTATAATTCTGTTTAGGTGAGCTATTGAGAATAGGGAAAATCCATAAAAATAGAAAGTAGCTTGGTGGTTGCCTGGGTCTTAGAAAATGGAGAATGACTGCTACAGGGTAAGAAAAATGTTCTAAAATTGTCTGAGATAATGGTTGCACAACTCTGTGATTGTACTTAAATACCATTGAATTATATATTCTAATAAATGAAATGCAAAATTTGAGGATTATGTATCAGTACAACTGATGTTTAAAAGAAGAAAAGAAGGAAGGTAGCAAAGCCAGAATAAGGAGCTAATATCATGCATTCCCAGGGGGCTTTCAAATCGGAATGGGGCTCTGTGGGCCAGTGCTGGATTTTAGTGTCTGCTAAAGGACAAGAGATATGGCCACAGGCATATTTGAAGTAGAAAGGCTTCAGCTGATCTCTGCATAAAGAATTATCTTCATGTGTTTTCTGAGCTTATAGACTATAGAAATTCTGCCCACCAGCTCAGAGAAAGGATGAGAAAGCTCCACACAGTCTGGAACTTGGGGGAGGGGGGGACTCAGAAAAACAGTCACCTGTGTCAAAGTCAAACAAAAATGCAAAGATGAATGTCCATGAAAAAAGGTTGTATTGTGGGGGAAAATGGTGGATTAGTGAACGGTGTACTTCACAGGGCTAGGGAGAAACCCTGAGGAGAATAGGGTAGGAGGTACACTCTCAGCAGAGAATTGGAGAGAAAACCTCCCAGGAAGCCCCATGGAAGGCGGGGAAACAGTGTGAACCTGCATGGTGAGAGCTGATGGGCATCCAGAGAGCACGGAAAGCCGGAGCTGGCAGCGTTTTTGAGGTGGCGGAGGATGGACTACACCAATCCGTGGGGATAGAGCCAGAGAGAGAGAGTGGCATGGGACCAGACTGGAGCCCGGGGGTAGACAGTTGCTGGCAGTCATCTGTGGTCCCAGTGGAAGTGGAGGAGGATGTTCGATTCAAAACCAGTCTCTCCAAAACAGAACCCATGACCTGGCTGAGAGAGGGCAGGTGCCATTTAAAAACAGAGCAACAAGGCCGGCGCCGCGGCTCAATAGGCTAATCCTCTGCCTTGCGGCGCCGGCACAACCGGGTTCTAGTCCCGGTTGGGGCGCCAGATTCTGTCCCGGTTGCCCCTCTTCCAGGCCAGCTCTCTGCTGTGGCCAGGGAGTGCAGTGGAGGATGGCCCAAGTGCTTGGGCCCTGCACCCCATGGGAGACCAGGAGAAGCACCTGGCTCCTGCCATCGGATCAGCGCGGTGCGCCAGCCGCAGCGCGCCAGCCGCAGCGCGCTGGCTGCGGCGGCCATTGTAGGGTGAACCAATGGCAAAGGAAGACCTTTCTCTCTTTCTCTCTCTCTCACTGTCCACTCTGCCTGTTAAAAAAAAAAAAACAAAAACAAAAACAAAAACAGAACAACAAGAACGGAAGGCTGCAGGTACACACATAATAGCTCGCTGAGACGGGGCACCTAAATGCAGTGATGGCAGCAGCAGCAGGCAGGCATTCGGCCAGTGACTCTAGTGTGTGTGTGATCCAGAGCTTCAAGCGGAAGGAATGGCCCCTAGCCCCCACTGACTCAGAGTGTGGCTGGAAGGTGGCCAGACAGCTACGAGGGTCAGGGGGGTTCTCAAAACAGCAGCGCCATCTGGACCCTGCAACTGTGGGAGCCTTGTGTGCTGAGACCTTGCGGCCTCAGTGGCTACATGAGAAGGTATAGGGCATAGCTGGGTATTGAGTTCTACCACTCCCAATCTGGGTGTTACCCAAAAACTCACACCACCCTATAGCATTGACCAGAGCCCCCTGGCCACACCCACCACACACCTCCTGGTATTCACTGAAAGGGCAGACATTCCATGAAGCCACAGAAGCATAGCCCCTAAGATAAAAGCCAACAGAAGAAAAATTTAAAATGAACACTACAAATGCCAAAAAATAAGAGCCAAAATTCAAGAAACAAGAATAAGGAAGTCACCGTGACACCTCCCAGAGGAACACAATAGCATTTCAGTGTTGGAATGTGAGGATGAAGAGACCAAGGAAATGCCAGAAAGGGAATTTAGAAAATTAATCACAGGATTACGCAAAAAAGAGATCAGAAGCAAACCCATGAGCTAAAGAAAACCATCCATGATATGAATGAAAATTTTTCCCAGGAAATTTAGAATTTAAAGAAAAACCAAAACGGAATTTTAGAAATGAACAATTCAACGAACTAAATAAAAAATGTGGTGGGAAACCTTAACAGCAGACTTAATGAGGCAGAATAAAGAATATCCGAACTAGAAGAGAAATCTTTGGAAATTTTATAGTCAGACAAAGAAAAACAAGAAGAAAATAGAAAACTTAAAAACAGTGTTGGAGATCTATGGGGTACTGTCAAATGACCAAACATGTGAGTCTTAGGAGTTCTTGAAGGAGTGGAAAGAGAGAAGGGAATACAAAGCCTATTTAGTGAAATGATTATAGAAAACTTCCCCAATTTGGAAAAAGAAAGGGATGCTCAAGTAGAGGAAGCACATAGAACTCTTAGCAGACATGATCAGAATGGATCTTCACAACACATTGTAGTCAAACTTTCCATAGTAAAACATAAAGAAAAGATTTATAAAATGTGCATGATAGAAATGTCAGATCAATTTCAGTGGATCTTCAATTAGACTCACAGCTGACTTCTCATCGGAAACCATACAAGCTAGAAGGGAATGGCAAGAATAGTCCAAGTTTTAAAAGAAAAAAATCTTCAACCTAGAATACTATGCCCTGCAAATATTGTAGTTACAAAAATTTGTGGACACTTACAAAAGGTGCCTAAGGAGGTGCTACACACAGAAACACAGAAAGATAACCATTGGGAAAGAATGAGAAGGCAGAAAAAACACCAGTAGAATTATAAAAGAAATCCAAAATAAACAATAGGAATATTTATGGGAAAATGGCAGGACCAAGTCATTACTTATCAATACTTACCTTGAATGTAAATGGCCTCAATTCTCCAGTTAAAAGATACAGGCTGGGGCTGGGGCTGTGGCTCACTTGGTTAATCCTCCACCTGCAGCGCCGGCATCCCATATGGGCGCCAGGTTCTAGTCCCGGTTGCTCTTCTTCCAGTCCAGCTCTCTGCTGTGGCCCTAGAGGGCAGTGGAGGATGGCCCAAGTGGTTGGGCCCCTGCACCTGCGTGGGAGACCAGGAGGAAGCACCTGGCTCCTGGCTTCGGATTGGCACAGTACCGGCCATGTTGGCCATTTGGGGGGGTGAGCCAATGGAAGGAAGACCTTTCTCTCTGTCTCTCTCTCTCACTGTCTGACTCTACCTGTCAAATAAAAAAATAAAAAAGATACAGGCTGACTGAATGGTTTAAAAAAGTAGACCCATCTATTTGCTGCTTTCAAGAAACATATCTCACCAACATAGATACACACAGACTGAAAATGAAAGGATGGAAAAAGATAGTCCATGCTAACAGAAACAAAAGAGCTGGTATTGCCATCCTAATATCAGACAAAATAGACTTGAACATAAGAACTGTTAAAAGAGATAAAGAAGGACACTATGTAAAGATTAAGGGAGGCCGGCGCTACAGCTCACTAGGCTAATCCTCCGCCTGCAGCGCCGGCACACCAAGTTCTAGTCCTGGTTGGGGCGCCGGATTCTGTCCCGGTTGCCCCTCTTCCAGGCAGCTCTCTGCTGTGGCCCGGGAGTGCAGTGGAGGATGGCCCAAGTGCTTAGGCCCTGCACTCGCATGGGAGACCAGGAGAAGCACCTGGCTCCTGGCTTTGGATCAGCGTGGTGCGCCGGCTGCCGCATGCCGGCCACAGCAGCCATTGGAGGGTGAACCAACGGTAAAGGATCTCTCTGTCTCTCTCTCTCACTATCCACTCTGCCTGTCAAAAAAAAAAAAAAAAAATTAAGGGATTAATCCACCAGGAAAATATTTCTATAATAAATGTATATACATCCAATTACAGCGTGCCTGGCTACTTTAAAAATGTTAATAGACATAAATGGAGCTATATGCTCCAATAAAATAGTAATGGGTGACTTTAATACACCACTTTCAGCAAAGGACAGATCAACCAGACAGAAAATTAGCAAGGAAACAACAGAGTTAAATGACACTGTAGTCCAAATGGACCTAACGGTTATCTACAGAACCTTTTACCCCAAAGTAGCAGAATGCACATTCTTATCAGTGCATGCAACTTTCTCTAGAATAGACCATATGTTGGCCACAAAGCAAGTCTCAGCAAATTCAAAAAAATCAAAATCATTCCATGTATCTTCTCTGACCACAATGGAATAAAGCTAGAAATCAACAACTCAAGAATCTCCAGAACATATGTAAACACGTGGACGCTGAATGAACAGGTCATAGAAGAAATCAAAATAGAAATCAAAAAATTTCTGGAAATAAGATGACAGTATATCTTATCAAAACCTATGGGATACAGCAAAAGCAATGTTTTGAGGGAAGATTATTAACAGTCAGGGGTATGCTGACCAAGTCACTGTTTCTCATAGTGTCCATTTCACTTCAACAGGTTTCCTTTTTGGTGTTCAGTCAGTTGTCACTGATCAGGGAGAACGTATGATATTTGTCCCTTTGGGACTGGCTTATTTCACTCAGCATGATATGTTCCAGATTCCTCCATTTTGTTGCAAATGACCGGATTTCATTGGTTTTTACTGCAGTATAGTATTCTAAAGAGTACATATCCCATAATTTCTTTATCCAGTCTACCGTTGATGGGCATTTAGGTTGGTTCCAGGTCTGGGAGATAAGGTGAGGGCTTGATCTTGAACAAGATGGTGATCTAAAAACTGTGGTGAAAGGTCAGAGATGAGCGACAGGTGAATCTGACTTGATGAGCTAGTGGCCTAGAGCTATATAAATCCCCCAAACATAGTCTCAGCCCAAAATGAAGTGATAGGTAAGAAGTAACACTAGATATATAGGTTGGAAAATTACAGGTATAGGAAACCTGACGGTTCCTTACTCACTCATCCATTTGCCTTTTTGCTTACACCAACTACTCCTTAAGAGTTTATCCTTAAGCCTGTGGGAACCATCATCAAAGAGAGCTGCATAAAACCTAAACTAGAAATGATATTTGCTTAGTATGTTTATTTGGAACATTACATCACATAGTAGTTAGTTTATAGTAGCAAAGTACCTAAGATTATGGGTTAAAAATAATTTCTGGGGGCCGGCACTGTGGCGTAATAGGCTAAGCCTCTGTCTGCAGCTCCAGCATCCCATATGGGTGCCTGTTCATGTCCTGGCTGCTCCTCTTCCGATCCACCTCTCTGCTATGGCCTGGGAAAACAGTAGAAGATGGCCCAAGTCCTTGGGCCCCTGCACCCGCTTGTGAGACACAGAAAAAGCTCTTGGCTGCTGGCTTTGGATCGGCCCAGCTCTGGCAGTTGCAGCCATTTGGGGAGTGAACCACTGGATGAAAGATCTTTCTCTCTGTATCTCTCTTTCTCCATCTGTGACTCTACCTCTCAAATAAATAATTTTTAAAAATTTTTTAAAAATAATTTCTGTGAACGTACTTGGGATCATCAATTGTTGTTATTTATTATAGTTATTTATGTTAGAAAGTACAGGAAACCTCATTAATCTACCTTCTTAGAGTGTTGTTTTTATCTATCTTATAAAAACTTGACAAGCCAGTTAAGTGGTAAGATTTATGAGGTATACAAATCCACTTAAAGGAAATTATGGGACCGGCGCCATGGTGCAGTAGGCTAATCCTCCGCCTGCTGCGAGGGCACCTATATGGGATGCTGGTTCTAGTTCCAGCTGCTCTTCTTCCGATCCAGCTCTGTGCTATGACCTGAACGATCAGTAGAAGATGGCCCATATGCTTGGGACCGTGCACCCACGAGGGAGACCGGGAAGAGACTCCTGTCTCCTGGCTTCGGATTGGCGCAATTCTGGCCGTTGCGGCCATTTGGGGAGTGAACCAACAGAAGGAAGACCTTTCTGTCTCTCTCGTCATCTCACAGTCTGTAACTCTACCTCTGAAATAAATAAATAAAATCTTTTAAAAAAAGAAAGTAAATTATTTTGTCTTGTTCTGCATAATATTGTGTGTAAGGGGCTGGCACTGTGGTAAAGCAGGTTAAGGACCTGGCCTGAAGCCCCGGCATCCCATTTGGGATACCTGGCTGCTCCTCTTCCAATCCAGCTTTCTGCTATGGCCTGGAAAGCACTAGAAGATGGCCCAAGTCTTTGGGCCCCTGCACCCATGTGGGAGACCCAGAAGAAGCTCCTGGCTCCTGGCTTTGGATCTGCGCAGCTCTGGCCGTTGCAGCCAATTGAGGAGTGAACCAGTGGATGGAAGAGTTCCCTCTCTCTCTCTCTCTGCCTCTCTTTCTCTCTCTGTATAACTCTGACTTTCAAATAAATAAATAAATCTTTAAAAAAATATTGTATGTAAGTGGATGCTGCTGATTACAAATGGGCTTTACTTAGTTTATGAAGTGAAATTTTGTAAATATAATTTGTACATACGTTAAGTTTGAATTTATTCTAAAATGTATAATTTGGATTTTACAGATTCATATTAATCTTTCTTAATTCGTTGTAATTAGTAATATTGTGTGTGTGTGTGTGTGTGAGAGAGAGAGAGAGAGAGAGAGGAGAAATGATGTTTAAGAATCACAGAATACATTAACTGTATCATTCATTTCCCCTTCCTTCCCCACCAGGTTCTTACCAAACCTTGCTAGATCAGCATTAGAAAAAAATCTGGCAGATGCTTCAATAGAAATAAATGCTGATGATAATCCAGAACCAGAACTAGAGAACTACAAATGTAAGTATTTGTTTTGGTTCTTTGTAAAGTGAAATAATAATTTTCAAATATGTGATACTACTTATTATCTTTTTTTAAACAAAGAATGCTTTCCATCCATTTTGTTTTATGTATTATGTTGAAGAAATTAATATACTTTTTTTTTTCAGACCTATTGTCATGTTTAATCCCAATGAGAGTCAAGTTGGGAGTTGATAATTTCTTTTTTTTTTTTTTTTACAGAGGATCAGTTTAGTATGCATTAAGTAAAGATTTCAACAGTTTGCACCCCCATAGAAACACAAAGTGAAATATATTGTTTGAGTACTCGTTATAGCATTAAATCTCAATGCACAGCACATTAAGGACAGAGATCCTACATGAGGAGTAAGTACACAGGGACTCCTGTTGTTGACTTTACCAATTGACACTCCTGTCTATGGCATCAGTAATCTCCCTATGCTCCAGTCATGAGTTTCCAAGGCTATGGAAGCCCCTTGAGTTCTCCGACTCTTATCTTGTTTAGACAAGGTCATAGTCAAAGTGGAGGTTCTCTCCTCCCTTCAGAGAAAGGTACCTCCTTCTTTGAAGACCTGTTCTTTCCACTGGGATCTCACTCACAGAGATCTTTTGCCAGAGTGTCTTGGCTTTCCATGCCTGAAATACTCTCATGGGCTTTTCAGCCAGATCCGAATGCCTTTAGGGCTGATTATGAGGCCAGAGTGCTATTTAGGACATCTGCCATTCTATGAGTCTGCTGTGTATCTCACTTCCCATGTTGGATCACTCTCCCCTTTATTTATTCTATTGGTTAGTATTAGCAGGTACTAGACTTGTTTATGTGCTCCCTTTGACTCTTAGTCCTTTCATTATTATCAATTGTGAACTGAAATTGATCACTTGGACTAGTGAGATGGCATTGGTACATGCCACCTTGATGGGATTGAATTGGAATCCCCTGTTATGTTTCTAACTCTACCATTTGGGGCAAGTCAGCTTCAGCATGTCCCAAATTGTACATCTCTTCCCTCTCTTATTCCTACCATTATGGTTAACAGGGATCACATTTCAGTTAAATTTCAACACTTAATAACAACTGTGTATTAATTACAGAATTAAACCAGTCATATTAAGTAGAGCAGACAAAAAAAACTACTAAGAGGGATAATGTATTAAGTTGTTCATTAACAGTCAGGGCTATGCTGATCAAGTCACCGTTTCCTATAGTGTCCATTTCACTTCAGGAGGTTTCCTTTTTGGTGTTCAGTCAGTTGTCACCGATCAGGGAGAACATATGGTATTTGTCCCTTTGGGACTGGCTTACTTCACTCAGCATGATGTGTTCCAGATTCCTCCATTTTGTTGCAAATGACTGGATTTCGTTTTTTCTTACTGCGGTATAGTATTCTAAAGAGTACATATCCCATAATTTCTTTACCCAGTCTACCATTGATGGGCATTTAGGTTGGTTCCAGGTCTTAGCTATTGTGAATTGAGCTGCAATAAACATTAGGGTGCAGACCGCTTTTTTGTTTGCCAATTTAAATTCCTTTGGGTAAATTCCAAGGAGTGGGATGGCTGGGTCGAATGGTAGGGTTATCTTCAGGTTTCTGAGGACTCTCCAGACTGACTTCCATAGTGGCTTGACCAGTTTGCATTCCCACCAACAGTGGGTTAGTGTCCCTTTTTCCCCACATCCTCGCCAGCATCTGTTGTTGGTAGATTTCTGCATGTGAGCCATTCTAACCGGGGTGAGGTGAAACCTCATTGTGGTTTTGATTTGCATTTCCCTGATTGCTAATGACCTTGAACATTTTTTCATGTGCCTGTTGGCCATTTGGATTTCCTCTTTTGAAAAATGTCTATTGAGGTCCTTCGCCCATCTCTTAAGTGGGTTGTTGGTTTTGTTTTTGTGGAGTTTCTTGATCTCTTTGTAGATTCTGGTTATTATCCCTTTATCTGTTGCATAGTTTGCAAATATTTTTTCCCATTCTGTCGGTTGTCTCTTCAGTCTCCTGACTGTTTCTTTTGCAGTACAGAAACTTCTCAATTTGATGCAATCCCAATAGTTGATTTTGGCTTTGACTGCCTATGCCTCCCGGGTCTTTTCCAGAAATTCTTTGCCTGTGCCAATATCTTGAAGGGTTTCTCCAATGTTCTCTAGTAACTTGATGGTGTCAGGTCGTAGATTTAGGTCTTTAATCCATGTTGAGTGGAATTTTGTGTAAGGTGTAAGGTAGGAGTCTTGCTTCATGATTCTGCACATGGAAATCCAATTTTCCCAGCACCATTTATTGAATAGACTGTCCTTGCTCCAGGAATTAGTTTTAGATCCTTGATCAAATATAAGTTGGCTGTAGATATTTGGGTTGATTTCTGGTGTTTCAATTCTGTTCCATTGGTCTATCCATCTGTTTCTGTACCAGCACCATGCTGTTTTGATTACAACTGCCCTGTAGTATGTCCTGAAATCTGGTATTGTGATGCCTCCGGCTTTGTTTTTGTTGTACAAGATTGCTTTAGCTATTCGAGGTCTCTTGTGCCTCCATATAAATTTCAGCACCATTTTTTCCAGATCTGAGAAGAAGGTCTTCGGTATCTTGATTGGTATTGCATTGAATTTATAAATTGCTTTTGGGAGAATGGACATTTTGATGATATTGATTCTTCCAATCCATGAGCATGGAAGATTTTTCCATTTCTTGGTCTCCTCTTCTATTTCTTTCTTTAAGGTTTTGTAATTTTCATCGTAGAGATCTTTAACGTCCTTGGTTAAGTTTATTCCAAGGTATTTGATTGTTTTTGTAACTATTGTGAATGGGATTGATCTTAGAAGTTCTTCCTCAGCCATGGCATTGTCTGTGTATACAAAGGCTGTTGATTTTTGTGCATTGATTTTATACCCTGCTACTTTGCCAAAATCTTCTATGAGTTCCAATAGTCTCTTAGTAGAGTTCTTTGGGTCCCCTAAATAAAGAATCATGTCATCTGCAAAGAGGGATAGTTTGAGTTCTTCCTTCCCAATTTGTATCCCTTTAATTTCTTTTTCTTGCCTAATAGCTCTGGCTAGAACCTCCAGAACTATATTGAATAGCAGTGGTGAGAGTGGACATCCCTGTCTGGTACCAGATCTCAGTGGAAATGCTTCCAACTTTTCCCCATTCAATAGGATGTTGGCTGTGGGTTTTTCATAGATTGCTTTGATTGTATTGAGGAATGTTCCTTCCAAACCCAGTTTGCTTAGAGTTTTCATCATGAACGGGTGTTGTATTTTATCAAATGCCTTCTCGGCATCTAATGAGATAATCATATGGTTTTTCTTCTGCAGTCTGTTAATGTGGTGTATCACATTGATTGTCTTGCGCACATTAAACCATCCCTGCATACCAGGGATAAATCCCACTTGGTCTGGGTGGATGATCTTTCTGATGTGTTGTTGCATTCTATTGGCGAGAATTTTATTGAGGATTTTTGCAGCTATGTTCATCAGCGATATTGGTCTGTAATTCTCTTCCAGTGCTGCATCTTTTTCCGGCTTAGGAATTAAGGTGATGCTGGCTTCATAGAAAGAATTTGGGAGGATTCCCTCTTCTTCGATTGTTCTGAATAGTTTGAGAAGAATTGGAGTTAGTTCTTCTTTAAATGTCTGGTAGAATTCAGCAGTGAATCCATCTGGTCCTGGACTTTTCTTTGTTGGGAGGGCCTTTATTACTGTTTCAATTTCTGTCTCAGTTATGGGTCTATTTAGGTTTTCGATGTCTTCCTGGTTCAATTTAGGTAGGTTGCATGTGTCCAGGAATCTATCCATTTCTGATAGGTTTCCCTGTTTGCTGGCATACAAGTCCTTGTAGTAATTTCTGATGATTCTTTTTATTTCTGTGGTGTCTGTTGTTACATTTCCTTTTTTATCTCTGATTTTATTGATTTGGGTCTTTTCTCTTCTTTTTTTAGTTAGTTGGGCCAATGGGGTGTCAATTTTGTTTATTTTTTCAAAAAACCAGCTCCTCGTTTGGCTGATTTTTTGTAATGTTTTTCTTGATTCAATCCTGTTGATTTCTTCTCTGATTTTAATTATTTCTCTTCTCCTACTAGATTTGGGTCTGGTTTGCTGTAGGTTTTCTAGATCCTTGAGGTAAATTGAAAGCTCATCTATTTGGTGCCTTTCCAATTTCTTGATGTAGGCACCTATTGATATAAACTTTCCTCTTAACACTGCTTTTGCTGTGTCCCATAAGTTTTGGTATGTTGTGCTGTTATCCTCATTTACTTCCAGAAAGTTTTTGATTTCTCTTTTGATTTCTTCTATGACCCATTGTTCATTCAGGAGCATGTTGTTCAATCTCCATGTGTTTGCGTATGCTCTAGGGATTCCTGAGTTGCTAATTTCCAACTTCATTCCTTTATGGTCTGAGAAGCTGCATGGTATGATTCTAATTCTTTTGAATTTGCTGAGACTTGCTTTATGGCCTAGTATGTGGTCAATCCTAGAGAAGGTTCCATGTACTGCTGAGAAGAATGTAAGATCTTTAGCTGTAGGATTGAAAGTTCTGTATATATCTGTTAGATCCATTTGGGCTATAGTGTCATTTAAATCTGTATCCTTGTTGATCTTCTGTCCTATTGATCTGTCTATTTCTGAGAGTGGAGTATTGAATTCCCCCAGTACTATTGTATTGGGGTTAAGTCTCCCTTTAAGTCCGTTAACAAATCTTTTAGATAAACCGGTGCCCTGTAGTTAGGTGCATATACATTGATAATTGTTGTATCTTCCTGTTGAATTGATCCCTTAATCATTATGTAGTGTCCCTCTTTGTCTCTCTTAACAGTTTTTGTGGTAAAGTTTATGTTGTCTGATATTAAGATGGCTACGCCCGCTCTTTTTTCATTTCTGTTGGCATGGTATATCTTTTTCCAGCCTTTCACTTTCAGTCTATATGGATCTTTGTTGGAAAGATGTGTTTCTTGTAAGCAGCAAATAGATGGGTTTTGTTCCTTAACCCAATCAGCCAATCGGTGTCTTT